ACAAATGCACAAAATTAAAGAGGCAAAAGGCAAATAACACCATTTAAACGGATCATTTTAGTGCAATAATAATAAACCAACGATGATAAAAACTAAATTTACATATAGACTATGCAAATTGGATAAAAACAAACTTCAACAAACACAAATTTTCAAAAGAAAAGCAACAATATTCATAATACTAGCTAGCTAATACTCAACAACCACACATCCTCAAGACAAGATCTATCTGACTATCATAGCAAATGTTGTAGTCCATGAAAGAGTGATCATTTTCAAGTTGTTTTCCAGCATAGATTAACCTCTGTTTATGAAATCGGATACCCTCTTTTTCCTGAATGGCAGCCTTAATATCTGCAATCGTGTCATCACACTCAACCATTAACTTAAACTTGCGACCCGACAGCCTCCTCACAGTGAATTGTGTTATTGGTGCATATCGAAGGATTAAGGTAGAACCTTTGGTGATTCCAGCAGAAACAAGAGTCTGAGCATCTCTCACAACTCCTCCATCTTCATTCAACAATTTTTGTTTCTTAAAAGGAATACCCTTTTCCTCTTGAATATGTTGGACAAATGATAATCACATCCAAAATAATGTCCAAACTAAATAGCAATAGGAAGAGAGTAACGACGACACCAAATATTAAAATGGGTAAATATGATACCCGAATAAGTAATACAATAATATTGATGAAAAAACTTGATAGTGTCAAAAAACTACTACTCACCACTCTTTTATTTCTTACAACTCACAATTATATTACTTTCACACTATTTTCTCACAAACTAAGAAGTAGTTTGTGGATTCTCTTTCTACTCTCTATTGCTTCTCTATTTTTGGTGTGTTCTTACAAATGAGCATAAGTGCTCTATTTATAAGAAAAAATCTGTCTATTTGATGTCACTAATGACATCAATGGAAACTAACAATTCAAACTTATAGGTAAACAATTTTGACATAAATGTGGAAGCTAATTTTCACAAAGTTTGGCTGTCAAATTCTACCAAACTTTGACTACCAAAACTCTACCAAACTTTAACAAATGTGGCTATCAACTTTCACATTTGTGACTTGCCAATTTTCACATTTGTGGCAAGTAATTTCAACAAATTAAATGTGGCTGCCAAATCAGTTGTTGTTTTATTCCCACAAATCTCTCCCTTAATTTTGATTTTTCTTCTTTATTCCAAGGCTTGATCTCAATCTCTGAAAAATTTTAAACTTGAGAGGTTTTGTAAAGATATCCGCAACTTGATCATGAGATTTCACATACTTGAGTTCTACCTCTTTCTTGGCAATGCATTCTCGGATAAAGTGATACCTTGTGTCTATGTTCTTGCTTCGATCATGATACACTGGATTCTTGGCAAGTGCTTGCGCAAATTTGTTATCAACACAAATCATTGTGGCTTCAATTTGCGGCAAATTGAGTTCCTTCAACAATCTCCTCAACCAAATAGCATGACACGTACATGATGTCGATGCCACGTATTCAGCTTCACAAGTTGAGAGAGTAACAATTGATTGTTTCTTTGAACTCCAAGAAATAACATAATCCACCCAACAAAAACATAAAACCCGATGTGCTTTCTCTATCATTAACATTTCCCGCATAATCACTATCACAATATCCCACAAGATTAAAATCATCATAAGAAGAATAAAATAGTCCAAGGTCGATCGTACCTTTTAGGTAACGTAAAATTCTTCTAGCGACCTTCAAGTGATTGGAGGTGGGAGCTTCCATGAAGCGACTTACTACTCCAACCGCAAAGAGTATATCTGGCTCGTACATGTCAAGTACCTTAGACTTCCTACGAGACTTTTGAACAAAGTAGAATCCACTTTTTCTCCATCTTCAAACTTTGACAATTTTGTTCCACTTTCGATTGGGGTGTTCACATGGTTGTAATCAAACATGTTGAACTTCTTCAAAATCTCCTTTGTATAGCTATCTTGAGTTATGAATATGCCTTCTTCCATTTGCTTCACTTCTAGGCCCAAGTAATATGATATGAGCCCTATGTCCGTCATCTTAAACTTAAGGGACATAGCTTTCTTGAAAGCTTCAAATAAAACTGGGTTGTTGCCCGTTAGAATGAGATCATCAACATAAAGACAAACAAGTAGAATATCTCCATTAGTATGAACTTTAATGTAAAGAGTGTATTCATGGAGACAACGAGTAAACCCATTGTCTTGAAAGTATTTGTCAATGCGACTATTTTAAGCTCGTGGAGCTTGCTTCAACCCATATAAGGCTTTATTCAATCTCAATACCTTATCTTTATGATTTTTAACCACAAAGCCCAATGGTTTCTCAACATAAACTTCTTCTTTAAGATATCCATTCAAGAATGCTGATTTGACATCTAGTTGATGGATTTTCCACTTCATTTGTGCCGCCAAAGAGATCAATAAACGGATCGTCTCCATGCGGGCAACAAGCACATAGACTTCCTCATAGTCGATGACATGCCTTTGTTTGTATCCTTTAGCCACAAGTCTTGCCTTGTATCTCTCTACTTCTCCATGGGCATTTTTCTTCCCCTTGTATACCCATTTGACTCCAATTGCTTGATGATCCTTGGAAAGATTTATTAACTCCCAAGTGTTGTTCTTCTCTATTGGCTGGATCTCGTCCTACATGGCTTGTCTCCACCTTTTGTCAGTAATAGCTTCATCAAAATTCATTGGTTCGCGATCAGCAAAGAGACAACACAAAAATCAAAATTAGTAATTTATTCTATGTCATCATAAAGTTCTTGGATGATTCTCATCCTATGCGGTCTTTCAGTGGAACTCTCTTGAGTAGACGGAAATGCAACATTTGTTGGTGAAGGAGGTGGGGTTGCATCTTGTGCAGGTGCCATGGTCTCCTGTTCTTCTTCAAAATCATATGTTCTTTCTTCCAGAGTCTCCCAATTCCATGATGCTTCTTCATCAAATTCAACATCACGACTCACCACCACCTTGTTATTGCTTGGATTATACAATTTGTAGCCTTTTGAACTCGCATCATAGCCAACAAACACATACTTGACACTACGATCGTCAAGTTTAGCTCTCCCTTGATGTGGAACATGAGCATATGCTATGCTCCCAAAGATTCTCAGGTGCTTAACACTTGGCTTTCTTCCGCTCCATGCTTCTTAAGGTGTTTGATCTCGTACATTTTTTGTTGGAGACCTGTTGCTCAAATAAACTGCACAAGAAATAGCCTCGGCCCAAAATTATTTTGGTAGATGTTTAGATTTTAACATACATCTAACCATATTAAGAATTGTTCTATTCTTTCTTTCTGCAACTCCATTCTGTTGGGGAGAGTAAGGTACCATTAGAGGGCGACAAATTTCATGAGATTGACAAAAGTCATTAAATTCTTTTGAAGTGAATTCGCCTCCTCTATAGGACCTTAGTTCTTTTATTTCATAGCCACTTTCTTTTTCTACAAGTGCTTTGAAAATTTTAAAGGCAACAAAAACTTCAGATTTTTGCTTCAAGAAGTATACCCAAGTCTTTCTATTGAAATCATCAATAAAGAGCAAGAAGTATTTTCTTTTACCAAAATAAGGTGGATCGATTGGACCACACACATCGGTGTGTACAAGTTGAAGTGGCTTACTTGTTCTTGATGTAGTCACCTTTGGAAAACTCCTCTTTGCATGTTTTCCAAGAAGGCAAGCTTCACACAACTGATACTGATGGTTGATTGACGGAATCCCATCAACCGTGTTCTTTTCTCCCATTGATTTGAGCGCTTCAAAGTTCAAGTGTCGAAATCTCATATGCCAACACCATGAGTCATCTTGCACATTGGCCTTCAAACACTTTGCATCGATGGTTTTAAGATTCAAAGGAAACAACCTATTCTTTGTCATATGAACTTTAGCAATTAAGTTGTTACTTGAATCTCTAAGCCAAAGATGCATATTTTTTATATGAATATCATATCCTTTTTCAAGAAGTTCACCCAAACTCAAAATATTACTTTTCAATTTTGGCACATAATAAACATTGTTAATCAATTTATGGCCACCATCTTTACAGGATATCATAATCGTACCTATCCCTTCAATTTGGATCTTTGATGTATATCCAAAAGACACATTACCTTTCACAGTCTTCTTTATCTCCATAAACTTATCTTTGTGGCCACACATATGATTGCTTACTCCATTGTCAAGATACCATGAGCTGCAATCATCTATACTTTCTTCTCTGAGTGCTAATAACAATGTTGACTCATCTTCATCTTTGTCGTTGTCAACAATATTAACTTTCTCTTCAACATTACTATGACATTTCCAAGAGTAATGTCCAATTTTATGACAATTATAACACTCAATTTTAGATTTGTCATACCTCAATTCATTTGTACTTTGATAGGCTCCACGTCCTCTACCTCCTCGTTGACCACGGCCACGACCTCTGAATGACTAGAGACTCTTATCTTCATTTTTGAATTTATTGGTATAACTTCTTCCTCTTCCACGGCCTCACCATTGTCCATTTCCTTTGTAACGTTTCTCACCTTCAAATCCTTCGAAGGATGTCTGAGTTTTAAGTAGTTGCTCTAGTGACTCTTCTTTTCTCCTTTTCATTTTCTCTTTGTGGGCTAGTAAAGAACCTTCAAATTGTTCTATCGTCATAGAGTCTAAATCTTTAGACTCCTCAATAGCACACACCACATAATCAAATTTAGGTGTTAAAGAATGAAGGATCTTTTCTACCACACGCACATCCCCGTATCTTCTTAATTGATTTACAACAGCCATTAATCTTGAATAGAAATCTAAAATGGATTCAGATTCTTTCATTTTTAAAACTTCAAAGTCAGCCCTTAGAGTTTGAAGTTTTATCTTCTTTACTTTATCAACTCCTTGAAGAGAATTTTGTAAAATCTTCCAAGCTTCTTTTGAGGTGGTGGCATCAGCCGCCTTCTCAAACATGTCATCATCCAAACATTGATGAATGAGAGTGAGGGCCTGTTGATCTTTCTTTCTTGTCTTTAATAAGATCTCCTTTTCATTTGAGGACAAAGTTTCCTCATTAGCGGGTTTTGTAAACCCATTGTCTACAATATGCCAAACATCTTGAGAGCCAAGAATGACTTTCATTCATAGACACCATTTTCATAATTTTCTCTTGTGAGATGGGGGTACTGAAAGGACAACGGACTATTATTTTCCATGGCTCTGATACCACGTTGTTGGACAAATGATAATCACACCCAGAATAATGTCCAAACTAAATACCAATAGGAAGAGAGTAACAATGACACCAAATATTAAAATGGGTAAATATGATACCCGAATAAGTAATACAATAATATTGATGAAAAACTTGGTAGTGTCAAAAGACTACTACTCACCACTCTTTTATTTCTTACAACTCACAATTATATTACTTTCACACTATTTTCTCACAAACTACGAAGGATTACTCTCTCTACTCTCTATTGTTTCTCTATTTTTGGTGTGTCCTTACAAATGAGCATAAGTGCTCTATTTATAAGAAAAATTATGTCCGTTTGATGTCACTAATGACATCAATGGAAACTAACAATTCAAATTTGTAGGTAAACAACTTTGACATAAATGTGGTAGCCAATTTTCACAAAGTTTGGCTGCCAAACTCTACCAAAATTCTACCAAACTTTGACTTCCAAAACTCTATCAAACTTCCACAAATGTGGCTACCAACTTTCACATTTGTGGCTTGCCAATTTTCACATTTGTGGTAAGTAATTTCAACAAATGTGGTTGCCAAATTAGTTGTTGTTTTATTCCCACAGAATATACGCTTTAACTGCAGCTATACTGTCATTTGGTTCAACCATTAAGAAAAAAAATTAGATTCTGAACCTCCAACTTCTTTGGGAACACCTCTACAGAGAAATTGACATGGTATTGTGTTCCAATTAATCACGTCTTTCCAAGTGTCATCTTGAAGAATGATCTCCGTTGTTCGATCCCATGACCATGGATCTAAAACAGTAAAACACAACATAAGGACGTTTCCATCAAAATAAATGATACACTCAAAGCAAGAAGAGGAATTCTGACACAGTTAATTTTTTCTCTAGAAGTGCAAAACAAATCACCTAAAAATAGCTACATAAAACTTAATCATAATAAGTACTACTAATCTATATAACAAAAGTAAACCTCTTTGAAACAACATATTATATTTATAGTGAAAAATCCTTTACAATGTTCGAGCAAATAAGCTAAATTATAGTAATTAAACTATTCTTTCGGAATAGTGTATGTATATAGAAGAGAGAGAGAGTATACTCTTCTGCACATCCTTTATTTGTATTTGAGCACTTAATCTGCCTTTCTTCATAGTCTCTCTTCAACTATACCAAATTGACTCAACCACAAACCCTACTTATAGAAGGAAAGCTCACGAGAAGTTACTCTCGCCATCTTTACTTGTTCACTATTTTTTCTATTCACTAATAGTTGTTTATTATAATCTCCATCCATTTTTAATTGTCATGATTTTCTTTTTCAGAGTCAAACAATAAATATTTTGATTAACATTTTATAATGTATTTTTTTATCATATTGATACACAAAAAATTGTAATTTATAGTACTTTTTGTGTAGTTTTTGAATATCTAATTTTTTTGTTTAAAATATCAAATTAATGTAATCTAATTTCACTTTTAAAATTAGTCAAATTGACTTTCGAAATAAGCAACATGACAATTAAAAGTGGACATAGGGGGTATTTACTTGGTACATGGATTAAAAAGACTGGGATCGTTTGGTAGAGTGTATTAGAAAATATAATGCATGCATTAGCCTTGTGTATTACTAGTACCTTGTTTGGTACTATTTTCTAACCTATGTATAACTAATGCTTACATTAGTTATACACTCTATTGTGTATTAAGGTAAGCATTACTAATACGAGAAAAGACATAAAAGCACAACTGAAGTTGTTTCGAATTTTCAATAAGACACCTTAACTTTGAGGATGTCCTATCACCCCCACAAAAGTATTGAATATTTTTGTAAAAGGACCATTTTGACCCAATTTTCTCATTATGTTTGTGAACACGCACATGATGCACGTGAAGGTCCATTTTTAATGCCAAAAACCAATTAAAAGCTGCCACATTTAAGTTATTTTCTTTATTAATTATTTACTCCATTCAAATTCATCATCTTCCCCAACAAAAGAGTCATAGGTACTCTATGATGAACTGATGAAATCAACTCAATAAGGTAGGAATTCGTTTTAATTTCCAATCGAAAAACTAATTTAAAGTTGTCCGAGGTTTCATTTCTTCTAAATTTCATTTAGTTTTGAGAACCCAAAAATCAAACCAAACTCTCAAATCAGTTGTTTTTTCGAGAGGATCAACATCAAAGCTCGGGTTTTATCAATCCATGGTTTGAAAACAAGCCTAATCGCTAGCCACTCAAAAGAAATGGCTCCAAATACCACTACTATGATTGAAGAAAATGATGAGAGAAACTAAGAAATGAAAAATGGAGAACAAGAGTTTTCTTTTTTGAAATGATTTGGGTCGGGTCGGGTCGGATTTGAAGAAATTAATTTAAATTAAAATTAATAAAAAAAGTGAGCACCACGCGCCTGTTCACAGTAGAGAAAATGGGTCAAAATGGTCCTTTTACAAAGATATTCAATACTTTTGTGGTGTAATAGGACGTCCTCAAAGTTAAGGTGTCTTTATGAAAATTCGAAACAACTTCAGTTGTGCTTTTATGTCGTTTCTCTTACTAATACCATGAATTTATAGGTATTAGCAATGCAATGGTTTTAATGAATGCATTAGCTCAATTAAAGTCTCATTTACATTTTTTTTTATCATAATTGTGGAGGTTTTTGTAAATTAATTTTTTTATGCAATGCATGCTATTTTTAATGCATCAAACCAAAAAATGCATAAAAATAATATATGTATAATTAATGCAAGCATAACTAATACATGCATTGTTAATACAAGTATTACTAATACACACTATTTAATATTATTCTTATACACTCTACCAAACGACCCCTTAAATGATAGATGTTATTTTACCAAATCACATTTATTAAATATTTCTTTTGTCAACTATTATCTTGACATAGGAAATAAGAAACAATAAATGATAGATCTAATTTTACCAAATCATTCATATTAAATACAAGTCATTTAAACATTAAAAAATGAATAGGTATATAATATCAATGATAAAATAGACATGACATGATAAATTATTCATTAATTTTATAAATTAGACAAGTATTGTTGGACATTCTAAAATAGTATAGTGGACAAATAAAAATAGACAGAGAGAGTATAAGTCATTTAAATATTGAAAAATAAATAATATTTAATAGCAGTACTAAAATAGACATAACATGGTAAACTATTCATTGGTTTTATAATTTGCTAGAAATTCTAAAATAATACAATAGACAAGTAAAGGTGGATGAAAGAAATATATTATTTTTAGTATGTTTAACGCAATACTTGTCTATTTTATAAAATCACTTAATTATTTCTACCTATTTTACCCTTATTACAATACTTTCTTCATTCGTTTTTACATGTCGTCCTTATTAAAAATAGATGTTCTTAAATACTTGTCATTTCACAAAATCAAATGCATAAACGACATTATTCTTCATACTCCCTCCATCCAATAATAATTGGCCACTATACTAAAAATAGTTGTCTAACAATACTTGTCCATTCTAAAAAATCAAGAGATAATTTACCTTTTATATCTATTTTACCCTTGTTGTTTCTAAAGGTTGGACCAATCAAACCATATCATATCGAACCATAGCGGGAGCGAGGAGCACATATTCTTTATTACTGACTTTTCGTGGTTGATCGCACCAACAGGAGTCGCTGTTTGTGAGTAGGAGAACATTCTTTATTGCAAGATGTTCGTCCACCCGCCGCCTTCGGTCAACTCAAATAAGAGGCCAGGAAGGACATTGTTGAAGGCTCACTGAGTGCTTCTAGGTTAAAGGGAAGCACTAGACTCACTCCACAAGAACTCACTTTTCGGTTTGCTTCAAATTTGGCATTCATTCCCCCTCCCTTTCCTGGATTTCGCGTTATTGTCTGCTATGCTAGCCTATGATGGATGAAGGCCTTTCATTAAATATTGTTTATTAACAAATTTTCAAAACATTAAATTAATAAAGTCAAAGGATAAAATAGTAATATTATCCCTATTATTTATTGTTTCTTAAAGGGAGTGTCAAGTCACTAGTGGATTACTATTGTTGGACAAAAGGAGTATTTATCTTTGAGAGTTATTAGCCTTGAAATTATGTATTTGACCAACATAAAAAAAAAGTAGTTAATTCATGCTCATTGATCGAATTAATTAATTTATATTAATTATTAAAATTTAACTTTAAAAAATACTAAATAAGAATATAATAAAATTTCCTAATTTTTTTAAAAACATAAAATCTAAAAGAACCAGTCAGGTTTTGTGAAGGACAGGAACATTATTGAAAATGTGTTACTGGCACAGGAGATCACAGCAGACATTAGAAAGAGAGGAAAACCATCAAATGTGGTAATAAAGCTAGATATGACAAAGGCATATGATAGAGTCAAATGGAGTTTCTTGGTAAATGTATTGGAAAAAATGGGCTTTGATGCTAGAGTTAGGGACATGATATGGAGACTAATTGCTAATAATTGGTACTCAATTCTGATAAATGGACAAGCACATGGCTTTTTCCATTCAACTAGAGAAGTAAAGCAAGGAGATCCACTCTCTCCAACATTGTTTATCTTAGTTGCTGAGGTACTGTCTAGAGCTTTAAACTCTCTATTTGACAATTCAGACTTTAAAGGTTTTAGGATGCCATAGTGGAGTGACAACATTAATCACTTTGCATATGCTGATGATACAATCATATTTTTATCTGCCGACTCTAAGTCTGTGAAATTAGTTATGAATATGCTTAAAGAATATGAAGTTCAATTAGGGCAGAAGATTAGCAAAGAAAAAAGTGCATTTTGTGTCTATCATAAAACAGCTCTGGCTCAGATTAATACTGTGGAGGTGGAAATTGGCTTCAAAAGGGAAAAATTTCCAATGATGTATATAGGTTGTCCCATTGGACATGCAAAGAAGAGAAAGGTGCATTTTACATAATTATTGAAGAAAATCAACCGTAGGCTACAAGCTTGGAATGGAAAACTTATTTCATATAGAGGCAATGTTGTTTTAATCAATAATGTATTGAGTAGCATTCTCATTTATATATTATCTACCATTAATCCTCCAAAATGTGTGATTCTGGACATGCATAAAATTTTTGCAAGATTTTTGTGGAATTTCAAACAAGTGGGGAGAAATAAACATTGGGTTGCCTGGAATGACATGTGTAAACCTAAGGAGGAAGGGGGCTTGGGATTTAGATCTTTATTTGATGTCTCCAAAGCACTTTTTGCTAAGCTGTGGTGGATATTTAGAACACAGAAGACACTATGGACAAACTTCATGTGGAACAAATACTGCAAAAGAGAGACCCCAATTGGTGGAATAGAAAGGGGGAACTCGGACCTAGATGAACATGTTGGAGGCCAGAGATATGTTGATCAAGAAATCTAGTGGGAACCAAAGATGGGGAATTCTAGTGTATGGTTTGACAGTTGGACTCAATTGGGGGCTTTGCACTATTATCTGCCTATCACTAATGAGCATGACAATCAATGGGAGGACATTAATCAACTTTTCTCAAATGGGAGATGGAATGTAGAAAGGACACAACAATTTTTTCCTGAAGAAGTGAGTAAACATGTTCTTACTCAAATAAATTGTGAAGAAAATTCTGAGGTATGGGATAAGCCCTGGTAGATGTTGAATAAATCAGGAAAATTTACTGTAGGGTCTACCTGGGATAACATCAAACAAAAAGGAGATGTTCAACACTGTTTTCAGCATAGTTGGAGTAGAGGGTTTTCTTTTAAGGTATCCTTTTTCTTGTAGAGGCTTTGGAAGAAGAGGTTACCCACTGGGGAGGTTCTAATAAGAAATATGATTTGTGATGAAATGATTTGTTATTGCTGTGGAGAAGGAGTTCAAGAAACAATAGACCATCTTTTCATGAACTGCCCTGATTCTAAAGCATTATGGCTTTTTCTTTGCAGCAGGAACATTAGTAGATGGTCCATTTATCCACATGAAAGATAGTATTTATAAATGGTGGCTGGAAAATGGGTCACCAAGGTCAAACCTATCTACAAGGTTGTTCCCATGTTCATTTTATGGCACATATGAAAGAGAAGAAATACATTAAAACATGGAGGGAAATTATCAGCAATTAGCATGAGGATGGAAATCTGTAGAAACTTGGTGTACATGGCTCAAAGCTTATATCCTTGGTTACATAATCTCCCCTCATCATGGATTGACCTAGTGCAATTCCTAGAAGAATATGCACCAAGGATTGAGTACAAGATGGTTTACTGGAAGACTCCTAGCAGGGGATATAAGTGTAACACTGATGGGGCTGCAAAAGGGAACCCTGGTCCTAGTTCGGGTGCTTTTTGTGTTAGAAATGAAGAAGGAAACTTGATGTATGCTGAAGGGAGAAGGTTTGGGGAGAACTCCAACATTGTGGCAGAAGTTTTAGCTTTCAAAATGGGATTAGTATTGCATTAATCACCATTATCTTCCATTGACAATGGAGATAAACTCTTTAGCCATAAAGAACATATTAGATGGAGGGTGGGATACTCCATGGTGCATTACAGTAGATATCACAAAGATAATGAGTTTACTGGTGGAGTCAAACACAACTGTATAACACACCTACAAGGAAGGCAACAAACTGACAGACTTTTTGCTAACCCTGTTTTCTATTTTGCAAGTACAGATCTCCTAACATATTCATCAATCCAAGAAATACCAAGAGAAGCTAGAAGTATATTACAGTTGGACAAGAACCAGACCCCAAATCTTAGAATAAAAAAATTCCAGGATGGTAATTTCAACATTAGGGGGAGGGGAGCACAACAAGGAACAAATAACAATTAGCAATGCAATAAATACATATTCGTTCTTGAAATTGCAGAATTTTCCAATGGGTATCCAAATCAAAAATCAATCATTGGGGAAAAGGGGAAATTTTCACACTCAAGTCGATATGAAGCGAGATTCACTTACTCGATTAGTTAATAAATGGATCTATGGATTCTTCTGGCTTAGACAGTGGTATTAGCTCCAAGTTGAGCTCAACCTGTCAAGAAAGAGAAAATATAGTGAAGATTACTACCTAATCGCCTAAGGGTTCTGGATAGAGAGGAGTTGGTCTCACCTTGGCTGTGCAAGACATGACTGGTTGTGCTAGGAGTTGAAGAAGTCTTCATTTGATTGATTTATGGCATTTGTGAGGGGTTTGAATGCCTTTGTAAAACAATCAAGACTCACTGGCACCTACGAAGTCAACTCTAGTAGACAGAAGGGATTCAAATCGTCGTCTTCCGCTGTCCGCCATGGCTGTTTTGCTAGATGAAGGTCTGAAGAATGGCGGCTGGTCTTTCCATTTTCTCTTAATTTTTGGTCTTCTTTCCTTTTCTGTTTTATTTGTTGTTTTTGTTTAAGTTAGTGGTGTAGTACTTTTGGGCTAATTTTGGGCTTTTATAATAAATGGTCAACTAGACCTCCTTTTAATTAAAAAAAATGACAGCTAAATAAAAACTGAGGGAGTACTAATAAAAAATAATCTTAGCATAACTAAGCTATTAATACTCAATAGGAGTAATAGAGTATACTCCTTCTAGGTTGATAAGTTCAAAGAGCTTTAATAGTCTGACACAACTTTTTTTAGTTAGATTTAATTTATGCACCTGCATATCACTCTTTTACTTCACTTCATTTATTACCTGGATCCTGTCATTCACATTTTTACCAACTGAACATTTAGGAGTCGTTTGATTTGAATTCAAGCTAAGATAAAATTAGTTATGATAAGATAAGTTATAATAGAATTAGTTATGATGGAATAAGTTATGCTAAGATTATTTTTTATCAAGTGTTTGATTTGTCATATTCAAAATAATAAATCTTAAGAACAACATATATGTTTATAAAAATACCCTTCATGAATGTGAAAAGTAATGTATAAAAAGTGTTAAAAGGATATTTTGGTCATTTAGTCATTTTATTCTGGGATAAGTTATCCCGAAATTACTATACCACCCAAGGAAAGGGATAACTTATCCCGGTACTAATTATTAATCCCGGGATAAGTTATCCCTGACATGCCAACCAAACAACAAATTAAGTGGCATTATAATTTAATCTCATGACTATTTGAAGTTATCCTTCACACCAAACAACCCCTTAAAGTTATTAAAATACATTATTTTAAGGATCCGGTTAGGCATAGATTTCTCAAGTAATATTTGGAAAAAACTTTGGCAAATACTGTTTGTCCATACAATTTGTCATTATTTTGCAAAAAAAATTGGCAAATAACCTCAATCCCCATATACTAGAAAAAAAATAGTATTTGAGCCAAATTTCATTATTTGGGAGCTTTTAAAAATTTAAATTCTACATCAAGCTTTAATCTTTTATAAAAACACCCTCCATATATAGTAGTTGGTTGCACTGTATTACATAATTTTTACGTGCACACCAAAGCAGTGATGGAATATTCAGTGAATATGAAAGTGATGATATGGTTATTGATGAAATGACGAATAATCAACTCAGAGTAATAAGTCACATACAAAATGATGCTTGTTGCACTCACTCCGTACCATCACATTGCTCCAGTATCATGTACACTACTTGTTATTTGCTGCAACGAAGATCCAATTGAATTGTTGCACGAATCTTGTTACGTTGATGTTTCTCTCTTGCTATGTAATACAACTTATGGTTAGTTTTGATAGTTTTTAAACCATATGGGTATAAATCATATTTCTTAAAAAAGTGAAATATTTCCCAAATATTATAGCCAAACACATGGTGAAATTTCATCCAAATTCTCACCTAAATAATATTTGCCAAAAATATTTAAGAATCTATAACCAAACACTAGCTAAATCTCTCTAAGACCATCTCCAACCCAACACCAAATTCTAAATTTGGTGTAAAATTTAGTGTTTTGAGCTCCAACCCACACCAATTTTTACACCAAATTTGGTGTGTGAATAGTGTTACACCAAATTTGGTGTGACACTATTCATCACACCAATTCACTTTTTTGAATATTTTTAATATTATTTCATTATACAAACTTTTAATTAAATCTCTTGAATATTGAATTTTTTTTTATGTAATATTTTTATAATATTAATCTTAGATATAAAATTTAGTTTTTTTATAAATTAATTTTTCTATATATGACTTTTTAAAAAAATTAAATTTATGTTAATTCTACTATAAATTATAATTGGATATAACTACAATTAACATTCACAAAATTTAAAAATGCAAATATATAAAGGACGAAGAAGCTCATTTTGAACTACATAATGCATTAATAGAGCATTTTATGAGAGCACCATAGTGATCTTGAAAGTTTAATATTTATGTATAATTTGAAATATTTTTTTCAGTTATGTAATATTTATTTAATTGTATTTCATTAATGATTTCACTTTTATTTTTATTATCCGTTATTATGTATAATGTATAATATTTGCTAGAAATTTATATTATTTTTTAAAAAAAAATTATGGTACAAAATAATTTTATATTAAACGATTATAAAAGGAAATAATATGAATTATATATGGTAAATGTTTTAGAAAGAATTTATTTTTGAAATAAGAAAATATAAATGAAATAAGAAATAATAATATAATAATGAAGAGAGAAAAATATTCTTTTTTGGTGTAAAATTTGGTGTAGTGGGTTAAAGTTGATTACATCAAAAATAGTGTTGACACCAAATTTGATGTTTGGGTCGGAGATGCCCTAAAATCGAGCTGATGTGGATAACATATCACTATTCACATCAGATGTAAATTGTCATGTCAATTTTTTATTAAATAATATATTTTCTTAAGAGAAATCTCAAAATCTTCAAAACTCTTTCTTTCTTGATTTCCATTCTTGTTTCTTCTTTTCTCATATCTTTTATCTATTTTGCTATTTAGATTTATTCTTATCATTTTTTCCTAGTATATTGTTTACATTGAAGAGGAATTCGCCACAAACAAAGCTTTACTATGGTATTTTATTATAAATTTTAATATTTTAATATTTTAATATTTTAATAGTGGTTAGAAGGGACTAAAATGAAGAATGAGAAAAAGAAAAGGAGATCGAAAAATGAGTCATTACAAAAGAACTTATCCAAAATGCTCTACATAAAATTGAGTTCAATTTCAACAGAATCAAACATATGTTTTTCATAACCTATCTAAAATTATCATCTATTTTACATTAAAGAACGTCCTTTTTTGTTTTCGCACTTTATATTTTACTCGAAACTAAATAATATTTTTTTCTCCTGATCATTTTAAAACTTTTAAATGATAAGAAAAACATGAGAAGAGATAGAGAAAGAATTGTATGTAAGAGTGTGAGAAGAGATAGAAGGAGTGGTTGTGTGTGGTGATGGTGGGGTTGAGAGAAACTATAAGGAAGAAGAAGCGTACAGTACATCTACAGGGGATGGGAATTTTTTTTATTTTTTTAATTGTTATATTTTATTTTATTTTAGTTTTTATATTTTTAAAATTAAAGTAATTATATTCACTTGCTTTTAAACGCGTGTAATCACACTTTTTATCTGATTCAACAAAAAAAAAATGTCACATAAGCTTAGTCAACGGGTAAAGGAGTTTATAATAATGTCTTTTAATAATTTTAAGTGTCCAGTTGACAAAGTCGTAAATAGAAGAGTTCAAGTGACAAACAGAGCTATATACCAGGATCTGGGCAAAAAACTTATGTATACAACTTAAGTACCTTAATTAGTACTATATAGCAATACTTTTTTTCCACTTATATAGCAATAGTTTTTTCTTCCAAAACTAGAATTTATATATATTTTTTAAAACGTAGAAATAGTCAGCCACGCTTATCACATATTCCTTGATTTTCTCCAATTATTTTACGTTCCCTGATTTACTCAGATTTGTTATATATTCTCTCCCATGAAGAAAGGTCTTTAACAAAAATAAAACTATCTTTCTACGTTGATTTACTGTTCAAACTTGGATACCAATAAATTTTCAATCCTAATACAACACAACGGGCAATGAGACGCATAGGTATTTGAACAACTAACGATTGATTTGGTGTTTTTTTCTCACAATCGGTATTTAGTCATTTTGGTAATTAGTCGTTGGTTTAAATTGTATGTTATTGTGGTTTAGTATAAAATTGATATGCTTTGGTAATAGTCTGGTGCAACGATTGGCTGGATTTATTTCTTTAATAAACAATAAAAATTATTAATCATTTTTAGTATGTTATTATGTTTAATTGATAGTGAACATGGTGGATATGTTGTGGTTTATTGGTATTCTGTTGTATGTTTTTAGAAACACCATAATTCATCATTTTTTTGTGCAAGTGATGATAGATTATTATGTGATATTGATAGTGTAGATAGTTTGGTGTTATAAGGAATGAATTAGTAAAAAATGTCTTCTTATTTATGATTTCTAAAATATCATGCAAAATGAAAAGTGATAAACTAATATGGAACTAAGAGAGTACCTTTGAACTTTGAACTTTGAACTTTGCTTTTACAAATTAAAGAATCTCTCTCCAACTTTGAGAAATAATCATTCTCCTCATTTTTTCCCAATTGACTTTTTAAAATGTCTATTATATCCTTACATTATCAACTTTTTTATTTTTTATACTTCTTTTAAAATGTAATATTTTTATTTTTAATCTATATAAAAAAATTATAAGAAAATATTAATTTCGTCTAAAAAAGGAAAAGAGAAAAATATTGATTGAGTATATAATTTAATATAGTTCTATAATAAAACAAAGGGAAAAGGGTCTGAAAAATATTTCAACTTTGGTCGAAATTGCTGTTACGATACCAAACTTTGGAAAGGACCTTTTACCCCCTTGTACTATTTAATAGTGTATTTTAAAGGTATATATGTTCCTACATGGACATCGTAAATATTGCATCATTTTAAATAGTAATGTGTCCATGTGGGCACATATATCCTTTAAAATACACTATTAAATAGTGCATGGGGGTAAAAAGGTCCTCCATAAAGTTTGGTATCGTAACAACAATTTTCGACCAAAAGTTGAAGTATTTTTCAGACCCTTTTCCCTAAAACAAATAAACAGAATAAAAATAATGTTATTAATTTTAATGAAATATATAATATAATAACCTTTTAAACATATTTTGATGCCAGCAATAAGATATAATTAATAAAAATAAAGGTATATTTGATAACAATTTTTTAAAAGATTATCTATCTATATTGTACATAAATTTTAAATTATAATTTAGAAAATGTTTCATTAATGACTATCAAATTTTGTTCAACTATATGGATAATACATAATAAAAGATAGGCATAATTACATAAATGTGCTCTTTTAATTTGGCTCCAGCTGTTACATAAACGATTTAACTTTTATTTGAA